CGGCTCAGAGGACCTGCATGACTCGCTCGGCGGAGAATCACTGGTCTTCCGGACCGCTGCACTGATCTGCACATCGCTCGGAGTCTGAGGCGCGGGCTGGGGAGCTCGGAGGATGTGGGCTCCGGCTGGTGGCTGCCCAGCAGCACTGGGATGTGCGCCCGTGCGCAGTGGAGCGGACAGAATCTAATGAAGACCGGAGAGCTCCCGCGCTGTGATTTCGTCCGCGGTGCCGGTGATCCGTCTGCCACTGGGGCCAGTGTTGCGGGTTCAGACGCTACCTCACTGTCCCCAACTAACGTCTGGCCAGTGCCTTGTCGCCACTGCGGAATGCTGTTCAGCCACTGAATAAGCGTATTGTGTCTCCAACGAGCCTCTTTGAGGCCTTCCAGCTGCCTTCACCGGCCCTTAGGCGTTCCATTTGCGTTCACTGGCCATTTACTGCCCAATCTACCTTCACTGGCCGCATGGAGCGCCCTATTTACCTTCACTGGTCGTTTACCGGCGGCCGTCGGACCCGGTTCCCGGCCCGGGCGGTCGCCGTGGCCGTCTGACGGCGCCGCCCCCGCCGCCGGCGCCGGCCTGGTGCTGCCCTGAGTGCCCGGTCCGGACGGCCCTGAGTGCCCGGCCCGTGCTGCCCTGTGGGCCCGGTCCGTGCGGCCCTGAGTGCCCGGTCCGTGCTGCCCTGAGTGCCCGGTCCGTGCGGCCGGCAATGGGGGGTTTCCGGGCGGCCGCACCGCCCACTCTGCGGAGATGTAAACGGCCGCATCCTCATTGGTGGCGCTCGGCTGCGGCGATCGGCCGACACGGCGCGAGTCGTCAGCGCTGTTTGTGGGACGGCCTGAGAGCCCGGACAGCGACCGGCCGCTCGTGCGGGAACTTCTGGGCGGCTGAGCTTGGTCCCAGAACTCAGGATGGGACCGTTTGCAGACTCGTATCGCCGACAAATGTTTGTTTCGGCTCCGTTGGCTGTCAGTCCACTGTTGGGTATAGCCTAGGTTCTCAAGAAATGCCACTGCCGGGACTGGGAGTCCAGCGTCTTTTGCCCCCAGGGATTACTTTCATCATGATTGAAACTCAATGTTATTCAAGTGTCGATCTGAGCGGTCTCTGTTGTCTGGGCCTCGGCGCTGCGCCGTTGGAGGGGGGTAGGGGGTCGGTCATTGTGCTCCCAGACGTCGGGCGTGACCCCGGCAGGGCGGCGACTGACCCCGGCCAGCTGTCGGCCCTTCCGACGCCCCACACCGTCACAGACAAATTCCAGACCAGCAATCGCCGGCGCTAAGTGCTGGCAAATATTTGTGTGTGGTGCGTCAGGTGCGCCGGCCGCGGGCGGCGTGTGTTTTGTCCGCCGGCGGGCCGGCGCATCCGGCGACGGAAGCTCGATCTGACACACCCGGCGGCTCCATATCTCGCCCATCGGCCGCCTGGGAACGGAAGCGGCACGTCTCCAGAGGCGTGATCGTCGCCACTTTTGCGTGGCGCCGTCCACCGTGCGTGGCCAGCTGCTGGAAAAATGATGCCGCCCAAGGTCGATGTGCGGCCATTACCGATCGGATTCCGTCCGGGCCGCCGGAATTACACCATGTGTCCGCAGCTTTAATTGGTCGTAATGGGCTCGGCCGCTGCGGGAGGGAGCGACGCGCGCGTCGCCGCCGGCGTCTCCAGCGCGGCGTCTGTTTCCACAAACAACCGCCGCCTGCGGCGCTCCAATTCAAACCGTGTCGGCGCGGCCGGCCCGGTGGTGTCTGTTTCTGCGCGCTGCACGGGCCGTGCGGGGGACCAGCAGGGACTCCGCGCCCCGCCCAGCTAGAAAGCCGGCGGGGGTTAAGCGTCGGGCGCCGGGGCTCCCACGGTGGGGCTCTCTCTGCCGCGCGGGCCGCGTGCGTCCCTGTTATTACTCGGGAGACAGCAGGCGGACGGGCACGCGAGCCGCGACCCGGGTCGGCCGACACCGCCGGCCGGTGCTATCTGTCAGTTCGGAGCCAGTCCCGCGGCCGGACAGCCTCCGTCCGATGTTGATGTGCGCGGTTTGGGCCGGACCGACAGTCGCGGCCGCCGGCAGTCTGTGGGGTGTGGCCGGACAGCGTCCCGTGACGGCTGGGACGGGTAGTGTTGCGTCCCGTCCTGGCTGGGACGGGTAGTGCTGCGTCCCGTCCTGGCTGGGACGGGTAGTGCTGCGTCCCGTCCTGGCTGGGACGGGTAGTGCTGCCCCCCCCCCGCCCTGGCGGGGACGGGTAGCGTTGTGACCGCGGCCGCCGACACGGGATAAAACTCCCGGCTGATTGGCCGTCTCGGCCGGTTACCGCAGTCGCTGTGGGAAACCACTGATCAAAGCACGGCAGCATCGCTCCGGCTCCGGATCTGCGGCCACGCTCGGCGACTCCGAGGATGATTCTGAATGGTGTGAACCAATTACTGGTGGTATTATATGACTGACGGCGTAACGATTATGGGATGGTCAGCGGTGGCGTCAAAAAGACGTGTGAATTTCGACCTCGCCGAGCTATTGCGTGGAGATCGCTGTGCTGAGATGCAGTCGACATCTCGCTCATAGCCGCGTTTGCACGGCCGATTGCAAAGTCGGGCCGACGTGGCTTGTGCCCCTTGCGGCACTGAGTCTTATGGCAGTTTACCAATGATTCGTAAACAGTATCGTAATGGCATGCTACCCACGCAAAAGTTATATTAGTAACCATATAGTAAGTACACGACAGTGCTTATCGCAAGCTTATTAACTTTTCCCGAGTAATAGCGGCCAGAAAGAAGGTGCATCAAAGCAGCGTGTTCTGTGTGCAGTTGGGTATTTGACATGCGCTCTCAAGCAAATTATTCATGGAAAGTATCATTGGCAGTCTCAAGGGTGAAACTTCCTTGACCCGCGACCTGCCTCGGCGTCTCGGCTCAACTGAAAGTGACAGCCGGCCGCAGAGGACGCGGTCGGCCGCTTTCGTTCGGAAGTGGTTGTGGTTCGACAGGGCGCCAGACCGCCGTGCGCGGGCCTGAGAACTGCCGGTGGCGGCCGCGTGCTGCGCCTCCGCCGGCCGGCACCCACGGGTGAAATAGGTCCAACCGCAGCCTTCGCACCTGTCTCCCGCCCACCCCTGCTCGTTTGCAGTGTCGTGGCTGTGTGTTCACTGCCGCCTTGGCTGCCAGGCGTCACTGCACCTGTCGCGCTGACAGCTGAGGGGGCGGTTTATCAAAGTGACGACAGGAGCTGCCGCGGCTGTCACCGTGTAACGTTTACAGCCCTATTAGCCTATCTGTTACTGATGTTTCACAGGTAATGTGGCCCATATTCTGACAGCACGTCCGGCCCGCAGCATCAGTGCACTGGCTGCCGCTAATATGCCTGAAATGACCCACTGCATGTGATGACTATTTCAGTTAGCTCGGTGCTATCATGACCAAAAACCACTCCACAGATTGGGAGCTGTCGGATCAGTGCCGTTCGCCCACCTGGTCCGCATTGACCGCCCAGTCCCGTTCCAGCGGAGCGCCAGGCCTACCACACGGAGGTGGTAGGTTGTAGGTGTTCGTAGGGACCCGCCGTGACTGCCGAGTCCCTGTTGCAGTCGTTCACCAGGCCTACCAGACGGAGGTGCATAACGTGTACACGATCCGCGGCAACGCTGCCGTGTTTAGCTGCCAAGTGCCCAGCTATGTGGCCGAGTTTGTGGCGGTGCGCGAGTGGCGCTCTGACGCCGGAGCCGTCCTCCGACCCGGGCAGCAGCACGGTAATTCACACCACGCTGATCACCTGACTGCTGGCTGTGAGACCCGGCAAAGACCGATTTTCAGGTGGGCGGTGACGGAGCCGGGTTTCTCGGCCGCAGGTGGAGGGAAGCTCCTGTTTGCGCTGGGAGGAGATGTAGAGGGCTAGCATTGGACGGGCGCCAGTGTGACGGTGGGCGCGGCGTTGACAGTCCCTGATGACCGCCGCGACCACTCCGCAGCCGTCTCACAGGAGTACGCCTCCGGCGTCATCGACCAGTACGTCATCGTCGGCAACGCGGCCGTGCTCCAGTGTCAGATTCCCAGCTTCGTCGGCGACTTCGTGACGGTGCAGTCGTGGGAGGACAGCGCCGGCGGCACCTACTTCCCCTCGTCCGGCTACGGTAACCGACCCGCAGTCCGCGCCTCTCCTGTCCGACCGCCGCCCGTCCTCCGCCCGGCGCCCCGCCCGTCCTCGGCCGCCTGACGCCTGTCTGGTTTTCAGTCGTGTCGCTCGACTATCGTGCCGAGACGGAGAACGAGTTTGTGATCCGCGGCAACGCTGCGGCGCTGCGCTGTAAGCTGCCCACGTTCGTGGCCGAGTTGGTGCAGGTGGCGTCCTGGCAGGACTCCGCCGGTGGCTCCTACTTCCCCTCGCAGAGCTACGGTAACTAGCTGCGCCCCGCGCGCGCCGCCCGCTCTTTTCAGCTGTCACTCAGCCGTACACGACCAGCGTGCAGGACGAGTACGTGATCGTCGGCAACGCCGGCGTTCTCGGCTGCCGCATCCCCAGCTTCGTCGCAGACTTTGTCACCGTCAGGTCGTGGCAGGACGCCACCGGCGTTACCTTCTTTCGCTCTTCAACGAGCTACGGTACGCCGGCTCCCCGGTGACGCCCCGTGTCGCCCGTTTCAGTCGTTTCGCAGGCGTACCAAGTCGAGATCGACAACGAGTTTGTGGTGCTCGGCAACGCGGCCGTGGTGCAGTGCAAGCTGCCCAGCTATGTGGCCGACTTTGTGCAGGTGGCCTCTTGGGAGGATTCCGACGGCGGCTCCTACTATCCGTCCGCGCGCTACGGTAACTAGTGACGCTGTCCCCTTTCAGCCGTGTCCCAACCCTACCGGACCACGGTGTTTGACGAGGACGTGGTGGTGGGCAACGCGGCGGTGCTGCGGTGCCGCATCCCCAGCTACATGGCCGACCTGGTGGCGGTGCAGTCGTGGGTGGACGGCGACGGCCGCTCCTACTTTCCGGCCGCCAGCCACGGTAAATGGCCGCTCCTGTTACAGTGGTGGCTCAGCAGTACTCAGCCAGCGTCAACCCCGTGTACGTGGTGGCCGGGAACGCGGCCGTGCTGCGCTGCGAGCTGCCCAGTCACGTGGCCGACCTGGTGACGGTCACCTCGTGGGTCGACGGCGACGGCGCCGTCTTCTTCCGCTCGGCTGGGGGCGGCGTTAGTGGCGATGGTACGACTGGCGCATCCTTTCCGTCCTCACTCCCCCCATCTCCTCCTTTCTGTCTTCTGACCTCTCCACAAGTAATGCCGCCTTTCAGGAGTACGCCGGCTGATGCTGGCGGCCCCTTCTCCTGCTGACGGCCCCTTCTCCTGACGACTGACAATGACCTGTTGCAGCTGTCGCGCAGCGGTACGAGGCCAGCGTGGAGCGCGAGTATGCCATCCGCGGCAACGCGGCCACCATGCGCTGTCAGATCCCCAGCTTCGTGGCCGACTTTGTGACGGTGCAGTCGTGGGTGGACTCGACGCAGGCTGCCTACTTTCCCTCCACCGACTACGGTAATTGGTCGCTGACCCTCAGCCTCTGCGCACAGCCGTGTCTCAGCCCTTCGACACCGACTCGGACAAGGAGTACGTCATCAACGGCAACAGCGGCGTGCTCCGCTGCGAGGTGCCCAGCTTCGTGGCCGACTTTATCACTGTGCAGTCGTGGGTCGACTCTGATGGAGCCACCTACTTCCCTTCGGAGGACTATGGTAATTCACGCCCCCCTTCCTGGCCATATGAGAGGTGTGAACAGCATAGTTTCAAGAGCAGCATGGAAGAACTCTTGCTTCAGAGTGCAAGAGATTCTTGATCCTGTTGTTGTTGTGGAGCGCGACTTGCCGTCCGGCGTCGCATCTTGAGACGGCTACAGAACGTAAGTTACGCTGCTTGCAGCGAAATGTTTCAGCAGTTCGCAACTTCTCCCTGAAGCTTTTTCCATCTGGTTTTCTACGTTGTGTCCACCGTTGCCGACTGCCAGAGGCGGACGTGGCGTCATCCTTGCCTGCGTTCCTTGACTATCCTTTTTCACATCCTGCCTCACGTCTTTGCCATGCCTTTCAGTGCTCTGTGGGCGGTCTTTGGTCATGTGCCGATACCTTCCCGGGGTGGCGACGCTGCTCGACTGCCAGTGGTCATTTGGTGGCTGACTGACCTCAGCCTCTGCGCACAGCCGTGTCTCAGCCCTTCGAGACCGACTCAAACAAGGCGTACGTCATCAACGGCAACAGCGGCGTGCTCCGGTGCGAGGTGCCCAGCTTCGTGGCGGACTTTGTCAGCGTGCAGTCGTGGGTCGACTCTGATGGAGCCACCTACTTCCCCTCGGAGGACTATGGTAATTGGCCATCGTTTGTTAGGCGGCAGGAACGGCGCCGGAACATCGCTAGATGATGTTATAACATGACTTTATCCCTAGGTACTTCAAAAAGTGGTCGTGTCACCAGGCTCCGGCGTTGCCTCTTTTTGTTATGTCGAATCCAATAAACGTTCGTGTTGTCTTGCATCGCAAGGCAACGAACGCTTAAATGCGCTGTCATAGGCACTTCGGAGTCCAGTTTGTACTTGAACGGACAGGGCTCCTAGTGTCCAGTCGTTATAAGTACGCTCCAGCAAAGAAGATTTCCAACGTTTGCCTAGCTCTGCTTGTGCAAGAATCGCCATTGAACCTGCAGTTTCTGCCGCTGCATGTGATCAGCACCTGGCGCCTTGGAGCTGGCCAATGGCGGCTCCATTGACCGAGACCGCCCCTTTTCTCGCCATACGATTGAAGCATGGCAGTGAATCATTCTCACAGGGGTTCGTTGCGCTTCGGTGTGCCCCAGAGCGACCAGTCCCGTGCGCTCCCGCTCTGTCCTCCTCCCCCGCTGACCGGCTGTGTGTCTGTCTGTCCACGGCAGTGGTGTCGCAGCAGTACCAGACCGAGGTGAACAACGCCCACGTCATCGTCGGGAACGCGGCCGTACTCGCCTGCGTTGTGCCCAGCTTCGTGGCCGACTTTGTGCAGGTGGCCTCATGGGAGGACGCGGCCGGCGCACGCTGGGCCGGCGGACCGGAAAAGCGCTAGAAATACCCCCAAGAGTGACTTTCCACACTATGAACAAAATATGTATCATTCGATCCCAAATTGATCAAAGCATACGATTATGATGCCATTTTTGCCCTAAGGTCGAAATTGAGGTGGTCAGCTGTCACCAAACACAAGACTATTTAGACCCGCTAGTGGCCACCACATTCGCCGATTTTAATGCCAATCTTTAGTTGATATTTATTAGTTGACCAGTTGTCGTTTTGAACGCAATTTTCTGTCAGACTAGTTCAGGGCACTGTTGTTCACTGTACCAACAACATTCTTACATATTGCATCGCTTTTCTGCAAGATAAGCTAGCTTTTTGCAAGCAGCTGCAAGACCTAAATAAAAATCATATCTAAATTTTAAAATGGACTTCTATAAAAACGTTATTTCGAGCGGCTAAAAATGAACATCTTATACTAGCCTCTGATTACTCATCTTTCGTTCCATATAGGTGCTTTGCTGCTTTTCCCTGCTACTTTTCGAGATATGCGCCAGTAAACCATATGATGTAGGGGCAATTGTCACCTCGCCGCTCTACTGACGGCCCGGCGCTCTTTAAAGCGCTGAAATTTATGAAAAACGAATGTTTATAATCTGAATAAAATATATGTCCCTGAGCTCAGAATTGATCAACGCACACAATGCTGTCAAAATTTTTGGGCCAAAGTCAATAATTAAGTCATTATGAACCCCCAAACACAAGTCAGTGATAATCAACAACAACTTGCTCTTTAGTTAGACTTTTTGAGAAATGTTATTTCGAGCCGCTAAAGATGAGCATGTCATGCAAACAACTAGTCAATTGTCTGCCATGCCCTATTGACGATTATTGCCTATTACTGCTACTTTTCGAGTAGCACTTACCCTACCGCGGTAGGGTGGCATAGCAGCTATTTCAGGTGACTAAGCAGACGATATCTCGAAAAGTAGCAGTAATAGGCAATAATCGTCAATGGGGCATGGCAGACAATTGACTAGTTGTTTGCATGACATGCTCATCTTTAGCGGCTCGAAATAACATTTCTCAAAAAGTCTAACTAAAGAGCAAGTTGTTGTTGATTATCACTGACTTGTGTTTGGGGGTTCATAATGACTTAATTATTGACTTTGGCCCAACAATTTTGACAGCATTGTGTGCGCTGATCAATTCTGAGCTCAGGGACATATATTTTATTCAGATTATAAACATTCGTTTTTCATAAATTTCAGCGCTTTAAAGAGCGCCGGGCCGTCAGTAGAGCGGCGAGGTGACAATTGCCCCTACATCATGTGGTTGACTGGCGCATATCTTGAAAAGTAGCAGGGAAAAGCAGCAAAGCACCTATATGGAACGAAAGATGAGTAATCAGAGGCTAGTATAAGATGTTCATTTTTAGCCGCTCGAAATAACGTTTTTATAAAAGTCTGTTTAAAAATTTAGATATGATTTTTATTATGGTCTTACAGCTGCTTGCAAAAAGCTAGCTTATCTTGCAGAAAAGCGATGCAATATGTAAGAATGTTGTTGGTACAGTGAACAGCAGTGCCCTGAACTAGTCTGACAGAAAATTGCGTTCAAAACGACAACTGGTCAACTAATAAATATCAACTAAAGATTAGCATTAAAATCGGCAAATGTGGTGGCCACTAGCGGGTATAAATAGTCTTGTGTTTGGTGACAACTGACCACCTCAATTTCGACCTTAGGGAAAAAATGGCATCAGAATCGTATGCTTTGATCAATTTGGGATCGAATGATACATATTTTGTTCATATTGTGGAAAGTCACTCTTGGGGGTATTTCTAGCGCTTTTCCGGTCCGCCGGCCCAGCGTGCGGCGGCTCCTACTTCCCGTCGTCCCGCTATGGTAATTGCTGCCCCCTTCCTTTCAGCCGTTTCACAGCCGTATGATGCCACCGTTGTCAACGAGGACGTGGTGGTGGGCAACGCGGCGGTGCTGCGGTGCCGCATCCCCAGCTACATGGCCGACCTGGTGACGGTGCAGTCGTGGGTGGACGGCGACGGCCGCTCCTACTTCCCAGCCGCCAGCCACGGTAAATGGCCGCTGACCCCCGGCCTCTGCGCGCAGCTGTCTCGCAGCAGTTCAACACGGAGGCCGACAACGAGTACGTCATCGTGGGCAACAGCGGCGTGATGCGCTGCGAGGTGCCCAGCTTCGTGGCGGACTTTGTCAGCGTTCAGTCGTGGGTCGACTCTGATGGAGCCACCTACTTCCCCTCGGAGGACTATGGTAATTCAGTGCTGATGCCTGTCAATCGCCTCCATCTCCCAAGTAACTCGAGAAATGGCGCAATATCGACAGACGTCGAGCTTTTCGGGTCCAGCAGAAAGACGTAGGACTTTTCATTGCGCCATGTAGTATTCTGGGTCGCTCATGGTAGATGACAGCGAGACCTGTCCTATCTCTAGAGCTGATTGATGATGCAGTAAGTCTCCAGAAGACCATCTTCTGTGAAACGACATAACTTCACAACTAGCCGAGTCAGATGCCGGCGGCCCTTCTGGGCATTTCAGCTGCCAGATGGCTGGCTGGCTGGTGGCTGGCTGGTGTTGTTCGAAGACTATTCGGGGAGGTCTCAAGCATGATGACATCAGATGAGAATCTTTTTTTGAACCTTGATTGACAATTTTAAAAACAATTATCACCCAAATGTAATCGTAAACGCAACTCACATCTTCCAGAAGTATTGTCCTTTGGCATTGTATGGATTAAAAGCTTTGCTGGGAGCTAACTATTTCAAGTAAGAAAGCCGGCAAGAATTTTCAGCTAATGGTCTGGAACCCTTGTAGTTTGGAGGCGCTGGTCTGCTTAGAATTGTCCCCGCAATATCCTGGTCAGTTCCTTTGGGTTCCTGCCATGTTGCCAGTTCCAGCCACCCCTGCCTGCCGTGTCCTGAACTGACGACTTGCCTCGTCTCCGCCAGACGAGTTTCGTAGCGGAGCGTTTCACAGACAACAGATGATGACGCATGCCGCACATTGTGTCGGCCACACAGTGACAATCTTCAACGTCTCTAGAGCTGCACATGACCTCATAGAGCGCGTATTCGCCACCCCTGGCTGTGTCTCCGCCGGCTGACCGCTCCCACCATCCCCACGGGGTCGCGCTGGCCCTGTCCGCCGGCTGACCGCTCCCGCTGTCCCCACGGGGTCGCGCTGGCCCTGTCCGCCGTCCCCACGGCAGTGGTCGCACAGGCCCTGTCCGCCGTCCCCACGGCAGTGGTCGCGCTGGCCCTGTCCGCTGGCTGACCGCTCCCGCCGTCCCCACGGCTGTGGTCGCGCAGGCCGTGTGTCCGCCGGCTGACCGCTCCCGCTGTCCCCACGGCAGTGGTGTCGCAGCCGTACCAGACGGACGTCAACACGGCGCACGTCATCGCCGGCAACAGCGGCGTGCTCTCCTGCGTGATTCCCAGCTTCGTGGCCGACTTTGTCAGCGTGCAGGCGTGGACCGAGGCCGGCGGCGCCACGCACTTCGCCTCGGAGCGGTCGGGTACGTGGCGGCCGGCGGTGACTCGGGCGCCCGCCGTCTGTTTCAGCCGTGCAGCAGAGCTACGAGACCAGGATCACGGACGAGTTTGTGATCCGCGGGAACGCCGCCTCGCTCAAGTGCGTGCTGCCAAGCCACGTGTCCGACCTGGTGTCGGTTCAGTCCTGGGAGGCCAGCGACGGCTCCGTGTTCTTCCCCTCGTCCGACTACGGTACGGCCTAGGAACGGCAGCAGCTGCGCTCGACACCACCACCACCCCGCGCCTCTTCAGAACGTGGCTGAAATCCACAGCTCAACATATCGAACGTTTCCGAGCCTCCGCTTCCTGTCTAGCCTTTGATCTAAAGCTTCGTGCTTTATATACTTCATTCCTCCATCTCCTTCGCCTGCCATAAAATGCGCTTCATCCGTGTCTCAAATGACTCGAAATATCTTATGACTTGTCCTGTTCTGTCATATGACTCGTCCTGTCCTGTCGTATACCATATGAAGTGCCCTCTGTCTGTCATATGACGTGTCATCTCTGTCATATGACACCCTCCCTCTGTCATATGACGCATCTCCTTCCTCTCTGTCATATGACGCGTCCTCTCTGTTCGCCGTCGTGTCGCCGCCCGGTGACGCACCCCGGCGACTCAGCCGCCGGTGACGCAGCTGACCTTCCGTCTCCTTCGCCAAGCCGGCCCGTCAGCGGCGCCGCACTGCTTGTGTCACGGCCGGCGCTTCAGGATCACGGCCGGCGCCTCAGGATCACGGCCGCCCGCCCGGAGAGGGGCGGCGCCGGCCCGTCTGGCGGCGAGCGTGGGAACTGGGGTGCCCCCTCCCCCTCCGGTCGGTCGGTCGACGGCGGCTGGTGGGAGGACGTTCTCTGTCCGCTCTGTGTGGCCGCCGGGTCCGGCCGGCTGTCATTAGGACCTCATCCACAGCCCCTGGGCTGGCCGGGTGACTCATCGCTGACAGGCTCCCTCTCCGCCTCTGACTGCCCGAGCTCGGTCGAAGCTCGGCCGGAGCTCAGTCATGAGTTCAGCCGCAGCTCAGCTGGAGCTCAGCTGGAGCTCAGCTGGGCGTCAGCCGTAGCTCACTGGTGAATCGCCTGGCCTGGAGTCACGTGCCGGCCGTCACGTGACGACGATGAGCGTCACACTGGGCCGGCGAGACGGGCGCCACTGGGGAGCGGCCGGCACGGCCTGCGTTTTTCTGCCGCCGCTGCAGCAGTGCTGGCTGGGCCGCGGCCGGAGAGCCGGGCGCCAGCCTGACCGGGTCGCCCCCACAGCTGTCAGACAGGGTCGGCGGGACGCCCGCAGAGTTCAGTCCCTCTCGGGATGGTGTGAACTATTGAGCGCTCCGTGTGCGCTGTCGCGGCCGGCGGAGAGAGACCGGCCGCCGCTCGTCGGTCGTCGGTCGGTCGGCGGCGCTGTGCGTGCCGCCGGTCGCCGCCGCCGACGAGGCCGGGTCGACGCTCGCGCCGGGCGCGTGGCTGACTCACCCGGCGGAGTCGCGTCGAGGCCGGCGCGGCGGCACGCACCCCACCTGGTGGCCGGCGCGCGGATCGATGAACGCTCCGGCCCGCGCGCTCCCAGCGCTCCGGGCGCTGAAGTCGTGTCCTCTGGCTGAGGACGGGCGTGGTCGGCCGGAGGGGGCGCCGACACGCTGACGGCGGGTGCCTGGAGAGAGACATGCTCGGCACTCGCCGTCCTCCTTCCGGGACCGGCTCGGCACTCGCCGTCCTCCTTCCGGGACCGGCCTTTGTGTCAGCCGGTCCTGGGGTCGCTGCTCCGGCCGGTCCTGGGGCCGCCGGGGGTCGCCGCTCAGGCCGGTCAATGTGACAAACATCTCCATACAAACATCTGCCCGCTGACTGACGGCCCCCTGTTTGTGTTTGCCCGCGCGCGGTGTTTGTGTTTAAGTGGCGCGGCTCGCGCGTAATTGCCGGTGACCACCTAGCTGTCAACAATCTTAACGTAACGTCACATGAAGTTGAATAAATACAGAGTAGCGTAACTCCATTATTACAGCGTACCGTAGCTCATTAGTTGGTGATAACGTAACGCTCGGCCGGCATAGCGTAGCTGCTGATGGTTTTATCTTCACTGGTCGCTGCTCGCGATTGTACTGTATCGTTTTACCGCCGGCCACGCGCAGCTAGCGTTTTGCGGTGGTCACGGATGAATTCGCTTTGTCTGATATACCGTAACGGTAACGCTTGTTTCCGCGTCGCCCGCCTCGCTCTGGATACTATCGGTCCGCGCCGCTCCTTAGTGTAACTGACATTGAGGGGCGGCGGTATTGTGGCCTCGGTCACAGCCCGTGTCCGGCCGGGGACCCGCCTCTGAGGCGGCGCTCCGGCTCGGTACGGCCAGGGCTCTCAGTGGGCCGCGGCCCGACCCGGACCGTTCCCGTTCAGAGCCAGGCGGGCGGTGCGCAGATGAACATCACCTGCTCGCGCTGAGGGAGAGTCGACTGAACAGCCAGATAGCCGCCTGAGCTCGACTGCTTTCAAAGTAACACGGAGGTGTTGAAACTGAGACCATTTGTTCGAGCTTTATCGGCTAATCGGCTGTTGGTCGACTCTCCTCTGTCGCGGGATGTGTCTGCGTGTCTGTGTCCCCGCCCCTGCTCCCAGCAGCCCTCCCCTCCTCCCCATGGACTCCCTCCTCCCCACGGACCCGCCTCCTGCCGATACTCCCACGCCTCCCGCGCGGCTCCCCGTAAAAACTTCTCCCCGCGCGGTAATGACCCTCTCGGTCCGATTGTGTGGTGGACCCGGCGCCGGCCACCGGCCGTTCCCATAGTTAGCGACAAAAGCCGGCCCCAGGTGACACCTGAACTGGAGTCGTCACGAAACGCCGCGTGACGCCCTCCCGCTCCGCCTACCGCTCGGCCCCCAATGCCCAGTCAGATAGCTGGGCGGGAGAGCATTGAGCCAAATTGACGAGTCCCCTTTTGGGTGGCGTTATAGTCACAATCCCCTAGTCGGTATCTCCCCTCCATTTTTACGAGCTGCCTTCTCAGACGCGTTGCGGTTTTATTACTGAGGAAATTCTCTCGATGCAGGGTCAGGATTCCCATTAAACCGCTGTCGTCTGTCCCTGTGACGGCTGGAATCGATCTATCGATCGGCGTGATGCGTCCGCGGCGCTCCGCCCCTGTACTGGTCGCCTCCCCCTCACTACTCTGACTGGCATCTGACGCCCCTCTCTAATGTAACGACTCGCGACTCCCATAGTTGGCGACAGCGGCAGCGGCCAATGGCTCGGCTGAGCGGGCAGGCGCTGACAGTTTCCGTAAGACACAACTGTTCTGGTATTTTTGTGTCGTTGCTACATTAATTTTTGGGTTAATATAGCGTAAAAAAATCCGTTCTTGAATCTCCATGCTTGTTAATTCCTTTTGGGATAATCTCACCAACCTGTCCTACAGACCCAACTCTCGGCAGTCCTACATGGCCCCTATGTAACCCCCTGATGACCCCTGTGTCCCGCTATACACCCCGTCGGCCGTGTGTGACCTCCGCCCGCGGCGCGTGTCGTCAGACGGCAAGTACCTGGTGCTGCCGTCTGGCGAGCTGCACATCCGCGACGTGACGCCCGAGGACGGCCTCAAGTCGTTCCGCTGCCGCACCGTGCACCGGCTGACGGGCGAGACGCGCCTCAGCGCCACCGAGGGCCGACTCGTCGTCTCAGGTGAGTCTGAGACTGGCAGCGGCCGCCCGGGCACCCCGGGCCGTCCGAGACCGGCAGCGGCCGCCACAGAGACAGAGAGACCGGCACAGAGACCAGGGAGACCGGTACAGGGACCAGGGAGACCGCCACGGAGACCATCGTAACTGCGCGAACGTCAATCTCATCTAAAGCTCGACGTCGTACTCTCCAAACAGTCATCTGTAGATAAATTTGCCGGGACTGTGTGGGGGTGGAGGTCTCTGTGGGGACCTCTGGTCAGTCCCCACTTCCCAGCTCTCTGCGTCGGTGGGGGTCTCTGCAGGGACCTCTGGTCACTATTTCCCGGCTCTCTGCGTCGGTGGGGGTCTCTGTCGGGCTCTCTGCAGGGACCTCTGGTCACTATTTCACCGGCTCTCTGCGGCGGTCGCCGCCGGTCGCGGGGTTAAGTCGTCCGCCGGCGGCCGCTCGGTGGGCGGCGCCATTGTTTCTTTGTGCCGCCGGCCGAGCGGCCGTCTGCGGTCGGCGTACCTCGGTCGGCCTGTTCGACTCATTATCGTTATGTCGTTAGTATTGACACGGCCGGCACGACGCGCTCTCTGACTGTATCATGACGGGCCCTGCCGGCTCCTGAATAGTTCATTTGGCTGTAATGCGGTTTTGGGTTAACGCCCTTCCGGTGATCGACTCAGTCTTCTGGGCCAGTTTCAGCCTTTGCATATGATTAATGGATATGTCAAATGTTGAAATGTAGCGTGTTCCGTAACGCCCTCTGTTGCGCGTGTCGGTTTAACGTAACGGTAACGTCTGCTCGCCTTGCACTGTTTGCCTCTGAAAGTAAAGTCTGCGCGCGGTGTGTTGTGTTGTGTGCGCGAGGAGCCTACCTGAATGTTGGGATAGGGTACCCCTGCTGTCGGGCCGCCGGCCGCCGCCGCCGCCGCCGCCTGTCTCCGCGCCAGCCCAGCGCTCCGCCCGGCCGGTCCGTCTGCCCATCTGCGGCCGCACCGACCGCCTCTGGGCGGCCAGAGGCGGGCCGGACCCAGCCGTCCCACACACACCGCTGAGAGACTGCCAGATCGGTATCGTTCTCATTGCCAGCATTGAGAAAGCGTGCTGCGGAGCCCAGTCGGTCGTGCGTTGTCCGGTTGTGGTAGGATGTCCCTAGAGGGCGCCCCGACCGCACCCCTGCTAGGGGCCGGCCGCGGAGGTAGCGCCATCTGTGCCCGGAGTTCACTGACAGGACTGATTCATGCATTTACTTTGGCATAACATAGTCAATGCGTTCTCCATTATCAGTCGCCATACTGACACCATACTGACACATGTGGACTGCTGCGCCATCCGGGTCCCGGCTGAGCCTCCGTCGGCGGCCGCCTGACAACAGGCCGGAGCAGACCGGCGCCGCGGCCCGCCTCCGCCGAGCCTTTTGACCGGGCTGGCACCCGCGCGTCCGGCGCCGGTGGCTCCTGTATCCGTCTCCAGACAGACCCCGTAGCGCTAGCAGCAGTGCCGTGCGGAGTGCCGTGCCGGATTTCTGGCCGCTGACGCGCCGCTGTCGGTCGGCAGAGCCGGTGAGCAGCTCGGCGCCCGCGTTCCCGTCCGCCTCCCAGACGACTCAGGGGGTGACGTTCCGGTCTGGCCGCGGCCTGGCGCTGTTCTGCGCGGCCCAGGCGGCGCCCCCGCCCGAGTTCAGGTCAGAGCAGCCCCCGCCCCGGCCGAGGTCAGGTCAGCACAGCCCCCCGACCCTAGGTCAGGTCAGCCACCGCTTAAGGTCAGGTCAGAGCAGCCACCGCCCCCGCCGAGGTCAGATCAGCCCCCGCTCAAGGTCAGGTCAGAGCAGCGACCGCCCGAGTCAGGTCAGCGCGGGACGGCATCGGTAGCTCGGCTCGGCAGAGCGATCTGTCCGGTGACGGAACGTCCGCAGTGGTGTCGAGGTGGGTCGGGTCGGCAGCAGGGGCCCTATCCCGGCAACAGGGAGCGGCCCTGTCCCGGCCACTGAGGCGCCGCCGGTCGTCCGCAGAGCCGGTGTCGGCCGCTCCTCCCCAGGTCACCGTCTCGGCGCAGCTGAACAAGGCGGTGGGCCGGCGCGGCCGACCGGCCACGCTGCTCTGCCCGGGCCAGGGCCGGCCGGTGCCCGCCTTTCGGTAGGTGGCGCTGTCACGTTGCGTTCCGCCGCAGAGCCGGTGTCGGCGGCGCCGCCGCGGCTGGCGCTGTCGGAGCGTACCAGCCTGGCGGCCGGCAGGGCGGTGACGGCGGTGAGCCTGCTCTGTCCGGGCCAGGCGGCGCCGCCGCCCCTGTTCCGGTAGGTACTGGTCGGGCGGGGCTCGGGTTCAGCCAGCGAGTCGGGTAAGTGGCGGCGGCTGTCGGCCGGACGGCCCGGTACTCCTCCCGCCGGGCGGTGGGTCCGTCCCGCGGCCCCCACTCCCTGACGGGTCCCGCGGCCGCCGCAGCACCCGTCAGCTCGGGCCGGCCCCAGGTGAACGCTGTAGCCCGTCTCAGTCTGGTGGAGGGCCGCCGCTCGGCGCCCGTCACGCTGCTCTGCCCCGGCCAGGCCGCCCCGCCGCCGCACTTCAGGTAGGCGGGCGTAGGTAGTCGTACCCTCACACACCAACGAGGCAGGTAGGTAACTCTATGGTGATTGATTGCCGTCTGGGAGCTAGTTCGGCAACTGAACCGGCTCACGGCGGTGCCATTCACTGGCTCGGTACACGTCCGCATGTCCATTTGCTGATTCCGACCGACCGTCGGCTGACAAGTGCGACATCCCGAGAGCTGAGGGCACCACCGCGGTCCATTTCGGTCCGGACCGGACAGCCGGGGCGGGGCGCTGGGTGGCGCCGCCCGGCGGGGGACGGCGCGGCGGGCCGGCCGGACCACTCCTCCACCGACTGACGGCCCACCCGGCCGGCGCAGAGCCGGTGGCCGCGTCGGCGCCGCAGCTCGGCGAGGTCTCTCAGCTGCACCTGACGCGCGCCCGCCGCGCCGCCGTCGCCATGCTGTGTCCCGGCCAGGCGGCCCCGGTTCCGACGTTCAGGTAGGCTGTCTCCGCCCCCGTCCCCACCGCGGCCAGTGACGGTGAGTCTGTCCCCTGCGCCCACAGAGCCGGTCTCGGCGTCCGCGCCGTCCGCCGTACCGCTGCTGGACGCGTACCACCAGCAGGCGGGCCGGCCGCTCTCTCTGCTCTGCCCCAGCCAGGCGTACCCTCTGCCCAGGTTCAGGTAGGCTCCCCGCCGGCTCAGGTCAGGTCGGTGTCTGACCGGAGTGGCCGTGGCCCCGCAGAGCCGGTGGCGGCCACGGCGCCGTCGGCCATGTCCCTGCCCAACGCGCACCAGCGGACGGCGGCGCAGGCCGCGGCGCTGCTCTGCCCCAGCCAGGCGTACCCGCTCCCCAGGTTCAGGTAGGCTCTGCGCCAGGTCAGGTCAGCTCCCGGTCGGGTCAGGTCAGTGGGTGACGCGAGTGGCCGTTCGCAGAGCCGGTGACGGCCGCCGCGCCCAGCATCATGTCGCTGCCAGACGCCTACCGGCAGACGGCCGGCCGGCCGCTCTCTCTGCTCTGTCCCAGCCAGGCGTACCCTCTGCCCAGGTTCAGGTAGGCTCTGCGCGGAGTCCATGTAGGGGTCCGAGCGTCAGGTCGGGTCGGTCGGCGCTGTTCCGCAGAGCCGGTGGCGGCGGCGGCGCCCTCTGCCATGCTGCTGGCCAACGCGCACCACCAGACGGCGGGTGGGCAGCTGTCGCTGCTCTGCCCCAGCCAGGCGTACCCGCTGCCCGCGTTCAGGTAGGCTGCTCGGGCCGGCCGGTCGGGGGCTGACCGGTGCGCCGTTCGCAGAGCCGGTGGCCGCCGGCCGGCCGCAGGTGCAGGAGCTCTCTCAGCTGGGGCAGATGACGCGCCGGGCGGCCGGCGCGCTCAGTCTGCCCTGTCCGGGACAGGCGTTCCCCGTGCCGACGTTCAGGTAGGCTCGGTGTGTGAGGGCGCGCACTGACGGGCCGCCGGCGCCCCCAGAGCCGGTGGCCGCCGGCCGGCCGCAGGTCCAGGAGGTGTCCCAGTTCGGTCACGTGACGCGCCGGGCGGCCGCGCAGCTCAGCCTGGCCTGTCCGGCGCAGGCCTACCCGCTGCCCAGGTTCAGGTCGGTGGCCGGCCCGAGTAGGGCGGTAGCTCGGTGCAGCGGGGTGCCCTATCCCACCACTCAGGTCAGTAGCTGCCTCGGTCGCCGGTGCGGGCCCACCTCAGTCCGATCGTCGGTCTTGCAGAGCCGGTGGCAGCCACGGCTCCGCAGGGTAACTCGCGCGTGGAGACGTCCCGGACGGCGGCGGCCGCGCGCTCGTCCGTGGCGCTGCCCTGTGCCGGCCAGGCGTTCCCGCCGCCGACGTTCAGGTAGACGGAGCGCGGTGATCGGCTGGGACTGTGTCCGCTGTCCTGGGGCTGTGTCCGCTGACGGGCGGAGCGCCGCTGTTCTGGGGCGGACCGCCGCTGTCCTGGGGTTGTGTCCACTGACGGGCGGTGCGCGGCGGTCCTGGGGCGGTGTGCCGCTGTCCTGGGGCTGTGTCCGCTGACGGGCGGCGCGCTGTGCAGAGCCGGTGTCGGCGGCGGCGCCCGGGGACGCCTCGCAGCGCGACCTGAAGCGGCAGCTGCACCGCGCCGGCCGCGCTGTCTCGCTAGGCTGCCCGGCGCAGGGCGTGCCGCCGCCCACATTCAGGTAGGTGCCGCTGGCGTCTGCCGGTGCCGCCGTTTGGAACTGACGGCGCGCGGTCCGCAGAACCCCTGGCGGCCTCGGCGCCGGAGCTGGAGCGGGACCTCCGCTTCAAGCGGGTGGAGCGGCGGCGCGGGGCGGCGCTCTGTCTGCTCTGTCCCGGCCAGGGGTACCCGGCGCCCAGCAGACGGTAGGTGCCGCCTCTGTGCCGGCCCGGGGACCACCAGGGGTACCCGGCGCCCGGCAGACGGTAGGTGCCGCCTCTGTGCCGGCCCGGGGACCACCAGGGGTACCCGGCGCCCGGCAGACGGTAGGTGCCGCCTCTGTGCCGGCCCGGGGACCACCAGGGGTACCCGGCGCCCGGCAGACGGTAGGTGCCGTGTCTGACGGCCGGCCGCGCGCGCCACAGAGCCCGTGGCCGCCTCTGCCCCGCAGATCAGCGAGCTGGCGCGCACGGTGACACTGCAGCGGCGGCGCGGCGCCGCGCTCAGCCTGGGCTGTCCGGGACAGGCCTTCCCCGTCCCCACCGTCAGGTATGGTCAGCTCCACAGGGCTGCTGCTGTGAGCTCCTACAGCTCCTGTGAGGGTTACCCTGTCCTCCACTCGGGTAGGCTCCCTCCCGCCGGTCTCTGGCCGGGAGGGGAGGGGTCCTGTGGGGGTTATCCTGTCCTCCACTCGGGTAGGCTCCCGCCCGCCGGCCCGCCGGTCTCTGACCGCTGACCGCCCTGGGTCGCAGAGCCGGCCAGCGCCTCAGCGCCCCGGGTCCCGGAGGGCTCGCAGTTCGAGGCACTCAGCCGGGTGGCGGGCGCGCCGCTTTCGCTGCTGTGCCCCGGCCAGGCCGCGCCCACGCCCGCCTTCAGGTAAGTGCCGGATGGTCAGGGTGATGTGCCGCTGGAGGTACCGACCGGAGCCGGGTCTGGACTGGTCCGGTCTGTGTCGGGTATGCGTTGGTCTGGACTGAGTGATACAGTTGGGTCGGTGGTGTCCTCTGTCGAAGGCTCTCTGAGCGGGCGAGGAGTGAAGCCCAGCGGCTCCAGAGTCGGGTCGGCCCTACTACCCTGTCGGATGAGAGCATGGTTCTGTACCCGCACTGCAGACGGAGCCGGACGGTCTGCTCTTCTCGGCTGGTTTGGCATTGTTTAGCGGTAGCTTACAAGGCAGCCTCTCTGCCGAGGCGGAACTCGTGTCGGACGACTGTGCGCTGTGGGCGTTGGCTGCGGCAGCGGCGGCGGGTCCCCGGTCCTGGGAGGCACCGCGCCGTGTCCCGGGGTGGGGTCGGGCCCGACTGACCGCCGCGCTGGCCGGTGCGTGCGGCCCGCAGAACCGGTCAGCAGCGCGCCGCCTCAGTTCCCCACGCAGAGCAAGATCAGCTCAGCGGAGCAGCGGGCCGGCGCGGCGCTCAGCCTCCTCTGCCAGGGCCAGGGGTCGCCGGTACCAGTGACAAGGTCAGCAGTGAGGCCAGGGGTCACCGGTGCCAGTCACAAGGTCAGCGGAGGGTCAGGGGTCACCAGTACCGAACCAGGGGTCGCCGGTGCCAGTCACAAGGTCAGCACAGGGTCAGGGGTCACCGGTGCCAGTCACAAGGTCAGCAGCGGGGCCAGTCAGGAGATGGCGGTGAGTTGACCGGTCGATCCGTGTCGCTGGGAAGAATCTGATTTGGGGAAGAAAGGGCGGTGAAATCCAGTGAACTCTCGTCCGTCAACCGTACATGCGGCGGAGTGCGGCGGCGGCGGCCGGTGGCGGTTCCACCCTATCCCTCCCCGGCTGCCGGAGTCCCCGCTATGCGCGCCTCCAACCGTCCTCTCTGTGCCGCCGCCCCCAGAGCCGGTGTCGAGCGCGCCGCCAAAGACCACCAGTCGCAGTGAGATCCAGACGGAGCGGGCGGCGGCCGGCGCGGCGCAGGCGCTCCTCTGCCCCGCTCAGGCCTTCCCGCTGCCGGCCTTCAGGTAGGCGCCGAGCGGTGACCCCTGCGCCCCGTGACACGAGCCTCTCCCCTGTAGAGCCGGTGTCCAGCGGGCCGCCTAAGGTCTCCGTCGAGTCCAAGGCGTACAACCTGCAGCAGGCCAGCGGTGCCGAGCTCAGCCTGCCGTGCAAGGCGCAGGCGTTCCCCGTGCCGCGCTTCAGGTGAGGACGCTGCAGTGCCCGCGCCCGTCTGACCAGTTCAGAACTGAACTCAGCAGTCACCGTCGGTCAGGGGTTGGCGGTCCTTTCAATTCGACCAGCGCGGGCCGGCGGCGAAGACGGCCTCCTATCCCACCATTCAGGGACGGCTCCGTCCTCACATCTCGTCAGTCTGTGTCCATTGTCTCTCTATCCGCTCTCAGAGCCGGTGGCCAGTGGCACCCCGGTGGTGCCGCCCGGCGCCAACGGGGTCATAGTCGAGGCCCGCGCCGCCGCGCCGGGCACGCTGCACTGCCGCGGCCAGGGTCACCCGGTGCCCAGCTTCAGGTGAGATGCTGTTGTGGCAGGATTAGAAGTGCTGTGGCCAGGACTCACAGCGCTGCCGCCGTCAGTGTTCACAATACTGCCTGGTCAGGGCTCACAGCACTGCCGCGGCCAGGGTCACCCGGTGCCCAGCTCCAGGTGAGCTACCGCAGCGACCAGGGCTCAGAGGTACCCCTGTTCAAGTGGTGTGTGAGGGCGCAGCTCAGCACATTCAGAAGCGCGGAGACTGGACGGCGGCCGGCGGCATCGCGGGCGGAACGGAGCGCGATCCCAACACTCCAGCCCCCTGGTAGGCTGCGCGGTGTTCCCGGCGAGGCACCGCTGTCCCGCGCCCGGCGCTACCCCGGCTGTCCGTTCCTCTCGCAGAGCCGGTGTCTAGCGGCGCTCCGCGGGTGCCGGCCGGAGCTCAGGGCGCCACGTTCTACCTGCGGGCGGCGGCGCCGGGGGCGCTACACTGCCGCGGCCAGGGCTACCCGGCGCCAGTGTTCAGGTGAGCCGGCGGCGGCCCTCCCCTCCCCCCCCCCCCGTCCCGGCGGCGGGGTCCGTGCACCCACCGGACGGTGTCGCTCCCGACAGAGCCCGTCTCGAGCGCGGCGCCCAGCGTGCCACTCGGGGCGCGCGGCGACGTGTTCACCTTCGCGGCGGGTCGGGACACGACGCTGCCCTGTCGCGGCCAGGCCTTCCCCGCGCCCACCTTCAGGTGAGTCGGGTGGCAGGGAGGCCATCCAATGCACAGACGGAGCGGTATTTCCGAACCGCTCGGGACGTCATGGAGTAACATAGCTGACAAATTCGCTAGGCCAGTCGGAACAGGTGTCTTGACGTGAACGAAGGTCTTCTGACGGCAGTTGTAAGCGGCAGCTCGAAGTCGTACGAAATCACCTCAGTCCTCTCCAGCGATGTCCTTTGGCGGCGGCCCGGGTCCAGTTCAGCCCATCCCAACATTCAGGCTCCTCGCTGCTCCCTGGTCCGCTGAGGTGGCGGCTGTCCCCGCCCGGCCTCGGAGAGTTACGATCCCGTCCCGACCGGTGCCGACAGAGCCGGTGGCCAGCGGCGTGCCGCGCCTGCTCGGCGCCCGTGGCGACCGACTCGACCTCGGCGCCGGCTCGGCCGTGGCCGTGCCGTGTCGGGCGCAGGCGTTCCCCGTGCCGCGCTACAGGTGGGCCCTCCCTCCGGCTACTTCCCAACCAGTGTCTACACCCCAACATTCAGGTAGGGCTCCGATCAGCTCCGGTAGGTTCTTATGGTTAACCCTCGGTGTTCGGCAGAGCCGGTGGCCAGCTCTGCGCCGCGACTGCCGGCTGACTCCAAGTCGAACACGTTCTCGCACTCGTCTGGAGCGCCGCTGGCTCTGCTGTGTCGCGGACAGGCGTTCCCGGTGCCCTCCTTCAGGTGCGTGCGCTCAGCGAAGGGGCTCGCTGGGACGCCGAGGCGGCGGTTCGGCTCAGTTTCACCGTTCAGCGGAGACTGGGCTCGGCGGCCGACCTGTCATCTGGAGCCGCAGAGAGCTCACACAGCCCAGGCGGTCGGTCTCTGTCTCACTGTCTCACCTCTCCGATCGGTCGGGCGACGCTCACCATTCTGTCCGCCTCGTCCGTCTCCTGTCCCGTCCAAATATCAAAACTCTGTGGCGGCGGGCGGCGGCTCGGCCGGCATCCCACCCCAGCTCCGATGGTACTGGAGGGCCGCATGCGGTTGATGTCAGTGACACTAGCGCGGCCCCTCCCGCAGAGCCGGTGGCCAGCTCGGCGCCCCCTGTCCCCGCCAGTGACACTCTGGCTGCTCCTCCCTCAGAGCCGGTGGCCAGCTCGGCGCCCCGGCTGCCGTCCGAGTTCAAGACGGACGCGCTGTCGCTGGCGGCCGGCGCTCCCGCGGCCCTCACCTGTCGCGGCCAGGCGTTCCCGGTGCCGGCCTTCAGGTGCGCTCCACTCCCCCGAGAGCAAACGGACCCGGGACAGAGCCAGAGGATCCAGTGGACTTGTTTTCACAGACGGGTCTACATTCTAGTAAGCTGATGTCGGATAGGGAGGCTTTGTTTCCGAGCTGGCGGGCGAAGGCGGCGCGGCGCGACGGTCTGTCGGTCGCTCTGGCGGTCTGGCGGTCGGTCGGTCAGTCGGTTAGCTGGACGGTCGGGTGGATGGGCAGGACATTACCCTCCCTTGCCGGCCACGACACTGCGCTGGGCTGGCGCCGGCGGCTCTCTGACACCTGTGGCCCGACGGCGGTGACGCGGTGGTCTGACCCGTGTCGGTCTGTGGCCCGCGGTCTGCAGAGCCGCGCGGCAGCTCGGCGCCGCGGCTGACCGCCCAGCAGCGCCGCCTGGAGCTGGCGGACGCCGCCGCCGGCCGGCCGGTGCCGCTGGCCTGCAGCGCCCAGGCGCACCCGCCGCCCGCGCACAGGTGAGGGAGGGGTGGGCGGAGCGGCGGCGGACCGACGGGTGGCGGGGCTCCCGAGCTCCCGTGTGACCGCGGCGTACCCCGCAGAGCCCACCGCGTCCTCGGCGCCGCGCGTCCTCGGCGAGCGGCTCATGCTGCGCTCGGCGCTGGAGGGTGCGGCGGCCATCCTCAGCTGTCGGGCGCAGGCCAGCCCGGGGCCCGCCTTCAGGTACGGTGCAGCAGGCCGGGGTTCAGATACAGATCAGCCCGGGGCCCGCCTTCAGGTACGGCTTAGCAGGCCGGGGTACAGATACAGGCCAGCCCGGGCCCCGCCTTCAGGTACGGTATAGCAGGCCAGCCCGGGGCCCGCCTTCAGGTACGGTACAGCAGGCCAGCCCCGGCCCGCCTTCAGGTACGGTACAGCAGGCCGGGGTACAGACACAGATCAGCCCGGGCCCCGCCTTTCAGGTACGGTATAGCAGGCCAGCGCGGGGTACAGGCACAGGCCAACCCGGGGTACAGGTACAGATCAGTCCGGGCGCATGTGCAGGCCAGCCCGGGTCCGCGTTCAGACGCGCCCGGGCCCCGCGTTCAGGCGCAGTGCGGCGGGCCGGGCGGCCGTCCCGCGAGTCCCAGACTCTGGTGAGCTCAGAGGTTCTGGCGGTGACGGTGAGGTCAATGTCTTCTGGGTGGTGGCAGCATGCCAGTTCCTACTTGGACAGGCCTGTATGGGACCACAGCAGCTCCCCTCTGGCTGGGTATCTGTCAATGTCGGCACACTGATGTCCGGTGTGTTGGCGGTTGGCCGGCGGCAGCGGCGCGGCGGTGCGGCAGTTCGCGTACTCCCGCCTCCGTCCCCCTGATCTGACGGCCCACCTGCCGGTCGCGCAGAGCCGCTCTCCAGCGCCGCTCCTACTGTGCCGTTCGAGGCGCGCGGTAACGTGCACGTGGCGCCGGCCGGCCGGCCGGTGTCGCTCTCCTGTCGCGGCCAGGCGTCCCCCGCGCCCCTGTTCAGGTGAGTGCCCCGGCCGGCCGCCGGAGGAACTGGCAGCTCGCGGGGACGCGGTCCAGCCTCCACCCGCACACAGGTTATAACCAGACCTGCTGTTCAAAACAGGCGTCTGTAGACTGACAGCCAAGGTAAGGTAGCCTGCTGCTCTTATCATAAGGTTGTAATTTTATGCGTGAACATGATGTGGCATGTTTTGGCATCAATTACGAGTGCCGGTGATTGAATCACTCCACAGTCCACACTACAAAATCTGCTGGGCTGGCGCGGAGCAGGCAGCGGCGCAATACCTTTCCATCCTTCCGGTTTCAGAAAGGAACTTAAATCCTATGAAACGATGAACTATTCGGAAACCAAAGATGAGCTATTCGGAAACCATGATGACCTTACCTCACCTAGCAGTCGGCTGTTAGGCAGAATTTAACTTTGTTTTTGCGATTATAGACCCTATGGTGCTGAGTAACCAACCTTCTTTTCTGTCCTGTGTGTCCTAAGTCCCAGCGTCTGTTCTTTACATGCCGGCCGCTGTGTAACTGTCAGCCCCCGCCTCCGCCGGTGTGGCCCGCAGAGCCGACGGCCTCCTCGGCGCCTCGCGTGGCCGGAGAGCTGTACCTGTTCCGCCGCGCCGCGGCGCGCGCGGCCGTGACGCTGCGGTGCGGCGCGCAGGCCAACCCGCCGCCCCGGTTCAGGTCAGACCGGCGCGTCAGGTCCTCGGGGATCAGCCCCAGGGCCAGGGTACCCTGTGGAGTGAGCTGATCTGGGAACTCGTGGTCTGTGTGTGCCGGTACGGGTGTGTGTGGTGGTGAGGTCAGTGGCTGGTGGTGGTGTGGGGTGGCTGTGTATGCGAGGGTCTCGGGTAGGATGTGGGACGGGGCGGGGCCGGTGCGGGAGGGCAGTCCCGGGGGTGGGAGGCAGCCCCGGGGTGCAGCCGCTCTGTCCGCGGCCCGCGTCGCCCCGCCTGAACTCTGAGCTCCCTCTGTCTCTCTCTCCCGGTTGGCAGGCCGCTCTTGGAAAGCACGCTCCTTGGGTGGCCGATGCACACCACGTACGACTAGCGTTGACGCGGGGGCACCTCGCCTGCTGCCGTCTAGCGGTGAGTCTCTCAACCTCAGTTGGTAGAACGCTCCGCTTGGCGGCTGGCCGCTGGCTTGGTGCCCCCGGCGATGCTATGTCGCTCGCTTGGTGGCTTATTGGCTTTGGACGTTACTTGGTCCCACTTGGAATACTAACAGTCTTTTCGTCCCGTCTCCAAGTCAAAATATAATATAACTTGAAAATTTGTTCGAGTAAAATCACCCCGTATCGAGAGTGTGTAGTTTTCCCGCTTGCCTGGCCTTTGCAGTCACACCATAGTGTTGCCGGCTTTTGGCTGTTATGCTTCTGTCAGCCGTGTGACCGGCCGCTGCGGCTGGCGGCGGGGCAGCTTGGTACCGTGCTGGTCACTGGAAGGCAGTCAGGGCACCCCCGGTTACCGTGCTGGTCACTGGGCAGCGTGCACCCTCGGGTGCCGTGAGGTGCCGTTCTAGTCACGGAGCTTGTACACCTACCCACCTACCACCCGCTGGGAGAGCCGCTGTATCTTTGTATATCGGCGTGGCGTATGATCGGGCTGGTATCAAGTGCTGCTGTCTCGGTTATCGGTCAGTCCCCCGGGTTCTGCCGTGGCATCTAACGGTAAGTAAATGTTCATACGGAGCATCAATTCATACATTTGCATCTCCAAGGTCATCTATCAGGTCAGTTCTGCGGTTCTGCTTGGTGTTGTTGGGTGCGGTGGGGCTTCAGCTAGTGTATGCTGACCAAGGCTTGACACAGATATTGGATAGAGGTACAACCTGTAGATTGTTTGAACCATAATTGATCTTACGATGCTTCGAACTGTTTAAAGTTAGTCACTCTTTATATCGTTTCTTCTGTTTCGCTGTAAAATTCCTCATGCAAACGTACCTATCACGCATAATTTATTGGAAAGTTGTTGGAAGTATCACAATGGTTATGGCGTTTAAATACAATTTTGATGTTCTTGCTTGTCCCTATGTCGTCTTTTTGCGAACATTGTCATCTCTATAATATTGTATTATTATTGTTCCACATTGAAACATCCGATAAACGTTCTTTCCACTTAACAATTGCAAAGTCCCACGGTTGTCCTCTGGCTACTCTAGTACTCTCCTCGCGTCGTGTGTTCCACTCCGCCCTGTCTCCCCTCTCTCCCCTCCCGCTGCTGACCGACTGTGCCCGGCCGGCGGTCTGCTGACCTCCCCTCTCCCCGCCCCGCCGGTCAGGTGGTTCAAGTTTGAGGAGGGCAGCTCGCGTCGGCGGCCCGTTCAGCTGGACGACAGGGTCCGCCAGGTGGCTGGCACCCTCATCATCCGCGAGGCGCGCGTCCAGGACTCGGGGAAGTACCTCTGTCAGGTCAACAACACCGTCGGAGGCGAGAGCGTCGAGACCGTGCTCACCGTCACTGGTGAGTCAGGGAGGGTAACGGGACCGTGGGTATTGGGACCGTGCTTACCGTCACTGGTGAGTCGGGGAGGGGCCGTGCTCACCGGCACTGGTGAGTGGGTAATGGGACCGTGCTCACCGTCACTGGTGAGTCAGGGAGGGGCCGTGCTCACCGTCACTGGTGAGTCAGGGAGGGGCCGTGCTCACCGTCACTGGTGAGTCAGGGAGGGGCCGTGCTCACCGGCACTGGTGAGTCAGGGAGGGGCCGTGCTCACCGTCACTGGTGAGTCAGGGAGGGGCCGTGCTCACCGGCACTGGTGAGTCAGGGAGGGGCCGTGCTCACCGTCACTGGTGAGTGGGTAACGGGGCCGTGCTCACCGTCACTGAGTCAGGGAGGGTAACGAGACCGATTCACCGTCAGTGGTGAGTCAGGGTAACAGGGATGGGACGGGAGCGTCAAAATCGTTCTCATTGTCCATGGTGAGTGTGGGGGAGGGCGGGCCGTTATAGGGCTCACTGTGGCTGTTTTCATTAGGCATTTATGGGGCTGGTAAAGGTACTATGTTTTTCCCTGACTATCGACCCCCTGTTCGTTTCAGCGCCGCTCTCGTCTTCCATCACGCCGCCGTCCCAAGTGGTCGACTTCGGCAAACCGGCCCAGTTCACCTGCACCTACAAGGGCAACCCCGTCAAGGCCCTCTACTGGATGAAGGATGGCGTCAAAATCGGTACGTCCGGCACAGATACTGACCTCTGCAGCTGCGAACATGTGCTGTCGATAACATGATCACCGATAATCGCATTAGTTGGGGGGGGGGGGGCGACGCAAAGTCTGAGATTGCCTTTTGAAATCCTGTGCTACATTTTTATGGTAATCTTGTGCCAGACGACTACAGCATAAGAGCTCGTCGCTTTGGTGCCGTCATTTCTTTGTATCACCTCCAGCCTCCCGGCTCCCACTGACCCCGCTGACTGACCTGCCGCGTCTGTCCACCTGTCTGCAGGTCACGACGAGCCGACGCTGTCGATCCGCGCCGTCACCAAGTCCGACAAGGGCATGTACCAGTGTTTCGTCATCAACGACCAGGAGAGCGCGCAGGCGACGGCCGAGCTGCGGCTCGGTGGAAAATGTGAGTGACTGGGGGAGGGGAAGGGGGGCAGTGTGTGTGTTAGTACGGAGAGCTCGGGCTCGGTGGAAAGTGTGAGTACCCCTGTGGGGAAGGGGTCACTGTGTTAGTACTGAGAGCTGCGGCTCGGTGGAAAGTGTGAGTAACCGGGGGGGGGGGGGGGGGTGCAGTGTGTGTGTTAGTACGGAGAGCTCGGGCTCGGCGGAAAGTGTGAGTACTGCTGTGGGGAAGGGGTCACTGTGTTAGTACTGAGAGCTGCGGCTCGGTGGAAAGTGTGAGTAACCCGGGGGGGGGGGTGTGCAGTGTGTGTGTTAGTACGGAGAGCTCGGGCTCGGCGGAAAGTGTGAGTACTGCTGGGGGGAAGGGGTCACGGTGAAGTACTTAGCACGGGGAGCTGCGGCTCGGGGAGAAATGTGGGGGCCGCTCAGGGTGTGTTTCACTGACAGTAGCCAACTGAAAATGGGTAGAGAACCTCAAAGCAAATCTGATAAAAAGCGGAAACACGTCAAATATGAATATGGGCGCTGCTTGGCCTTTTGCTTCAGTGGAATTTCGTTGATCATGAAAGCTATTGTCGGCTACCAGTGTTGCTGCTCACAGGAATTTTACAGGCAGCTAACCGCAGGTTAGCCATTGATGTGTCTGTGACTCCGTGTGTGATGATCTGGCTGTTGAACTGTGTGTGATGGTGTGAGACGCCGTAATGCCGCGTGTGACGCCGTGTGACGCTGAGCACGTCGGTCCGTGTGTGACGCTGCATTCCCTGTCGCCAGTCGACCCGCCGGCGGTGTGCCTGATCCTGTGTCTGATGCTGTGAGTCTGTGACTGTACTGTGTCTGACGCCGTGTGACGCTGTGTGTGACGCTGTGTGTGACGCTGCGCTCCCCGTCGCCAGTCGACCCGCCGGCGCTGGTGGAGACGTTCGAGGCCCGCCAGCTGGAGCCCGGCATCTCCACTCACCTCAAGTGCGCCGCCACGGGCGACCCGACGCCCGAGATCACCTGGTTCATTGACGACACGGAGACCACCAGCCGAGACCGGTAAGAGGCGGCGCGCGGGGACGAACAGCTGACACTAGTTACACAGGGTGGCCCACGGTATACAGAAACGGAAGGGACGTCAGGTCGAATGTATTCGATGGTGGGCATTTTTGCGCCTACTCCAATTATTTGCGCATGTACGCACTATCTTTACTGTGTACCATATACCTCTTAAAGTCGCCATTGCATGTTTGAAATGATATTCTTAGTAACTTGTAGCGTAACGTACTGGAGCGTCGCTCTGCGGGTCCCGGACGGCTGTCTGTGACCGCCTCTGACCGCCACTGACCACCACTGACCGCCGGCGGGTCCCGGACGACTGGGGCTGACCGTTACTGACCGTCACTCACCGCCACTGACCGCGGGCGGGCCGCGTGGCCAGGTTCCAGGTGAGCCACTCTCGCGGCCCGGGCGGCACCGTCGTGTCCTTCCTCAACATCTCCAGCATCCTGACCAACGACGGCGGCCTGTTCAAGTGCCGCGCCGCCTCCAAGGTGGGCGCCGCCGAGCACCGGGCGCGCATCGACGTGCGCGGCCTGCCGCACGTCAAGCCCATGAAGAAGATGTCGGTGGTGGCCGGCGAGACGCTGATCAAGACGTGCCCGGTGGCCGGCTACCCGATCGACACCATCACCTGGGAGATGAGTGAGTGGCGCGCGCACCGAGCGCAGGACCGCCCCGGCGCCGAACCCGGCCGAGGGCGGTCGATTGATGGATACCTGTAAACACAGAGGTAGTCAATAGGCACTGAGCAGCCCGTTTGACGTCATTCACATCTTACACGCTGCTCATTTGGAATTACCGATTGAAGGACATGTGCCTCTGCTAAATGATATTGTTTTGTACAACAGTTGAATCTGCCCATCCACTATGTAATGTCGTGCCCGCCGGGGATCGAGGCTTGTTCTGCTCGCGTCCCTATGTCGGCAGCTAACCCCTTACCCCGTTACCCCCGTTACCCGCTCCCGCCGCTCACGGTACCCCGTCCTCCGCCGGCAGACGCGCGCGTGCTGCCCCGTGACGCGCGCCAGAAGGTGTTCCCGAACGGCACGCTGATCATCACCAACGTGCAGCGCCAGTCGGACCAGGGCACGTACACGTGTGTGGCGCGCAGCACGCACGGATACATGGCGCGCGCCAACCTCGAGGTGCTCGTCATGGGTGAGTGCAGGGGCGGGGGACGGGGAGGGGGCGCCGGCCGGGACCGACACACGGTACTACACAGCATACACAACACGGTCTATGTGGGACTTCAGGTCAGATGGACTTAGTGGAGGCAACATATAGATCACTTGTGATAGGCTAATCTGAGCGGCGCCTTTCTGCCATTGTGTAGAAAAGTCCAAAGATTTTATCCGATAATAAACACCAGTTTATAACGTTTTCTATGCTTATAGATTGAGTTAAATCGTACAATATTTTTTTATTACCATGGACATAGGACTAGCTTGAATTCGCGTAGTTTGCCTGTCACTTTTTGCATTAAGATGTCAGGAACACCATGACACGAATTTGGAGTAGGATGCGGCTGGTGATGACTGGCTTTCTCACTATTTTTCGTCGCTGTCTCCGAGGTGCGTTCTGGTTAGGTCTGACCACCGTTAAGGAACTGATATCGGCGATCACCAGACGCCATCGATCCACGCTCGGCACCGGCCGGCGCCTTGCTGGGGTGTGCTCTCTAGTTAGGCCTCGCCACATGACATTGGAGGTTAATTTATGCGATTGATGACTTCGTAATAAGTCGCTTAATACGGTTTAGAGAAACATAAATGTCGAGTAGCATCTTAATGACTCTCTTTTTGTGATAATTATTTCTTTAAAGATGAAAGTGAAAGCAGTTTAGCTATTGTTTAAATTTCTGTTCTCACATTGCTCTAAGAACTGCAATTTGTCATGCTCCAAACGGGAGTGCAGGCGCGCGCGCGTGTGTGTGTGTTCGTCTGACCGCCTTTTCCAGTTGTGCGCGGGTCGGCCGGCCCGCCCGCCGCCGGTAGCCGGTCGGCCGCCCCGCCCGGCCCCCGTCACAGCCCCCGCCCGGCGCAGAGCCGCCGCAGCTGGCGCCGTTCGCGTTCGATGCCGGTCTGCGCGTGGGGGACCTGGTGACGGCCATGTGTGTGGTGCGCGCCGGCGACTCGCCGCTGACCCTGCGCTGGCTGCGCGACGGCCGGCCGCTGCCGCCGGCCGCCGAGGGACTCGTCACGCGTGACACCGGCGACCGGCTGAGCGTGCTGCTCATCCCGCACGTGCGCGCCGCTCACGTGGGCCGCTACACGTGCCAGGCCAGCAACGCGGCCGGCGCGGCGCGCCACTCGGCGACGCTGGTGGCCCGAGGTAGCGCCGCCGGCCGCTCCGACTGACGCACCGCACGGGTTCGGGCTGACCTGTGGATACCGGAGCTAACCTCTCGCCGCCCCGACTCCTCCCGCCGATCGCCGACGGCACTCCTGGTCCGACGGAGCCGCGCCTGGCCGGGGTACAGCCCAGACCCCAGCTCCCGCCGCAGCCCGGCCGGGGTACAGCCGAGACCCAGCGCCGCCGCCCGATCCGGTGTGCCTCGCCTGACCGCCCTGTGAGGCCGCACAGTCTGTGGAGCCGCCCGCCCGCCCGTCCGGCAGATCAGTCTGCGCTGAGCTGGTCCCTGACAAGGCCACAAGGGTCTGTCGGCAGTCGCCGGCCACCGTCCAATACCTGAGGGCCTTTGAATGAAAGGGAATCAGGCAGGATGACTAGGAAAGCTGTGTGTAGTTTCATCGCCAAATCTGAGACACAGCCTTGAGCTCTCGCTGCACTCGCCTGAATAGCGCTGTCGGCTCTGTGGCCCGTATCACTGCTTCTGGCAACGTCTTGTTCATCTGTGGTTCTAGTCTTCTTACCAGGCGCAGTCGATCGAGGACTGGTGGTCTCCTCCCCTGGTGTGGTGGCTAAATTAGTCATCAACCGAGCTGTAGGGGCGCATCGTTTGTAATAGAGGTTCGCCGTAGCAGCTCACTGAAACGATGAGCGGTAAGCTCATTGGTGCAGTGTCCGTCTGCGCAGGCCGTCCTCTGACCGCCGGGCCGCCCCCAGAGCCGCCGGAGATTGTGCCGTTCGCCATGGAGGCGGCGCTGCGCGTGGGCCAGGACGCCACCCTGCTGTGCAGCGCCTACAAGGGCGACACGCCGCTGGCGGTGACGTGGACGGTGGACGGGGCGCCGGCGGCGGGCCGGCCGGGCGTGCAGGTGCTGCCGGCCGGTGCCCGCTCCAGCCTGCTCACGGTACCCTCGGTGGGCGCCGAGCACAGCGGGCGGTACACCTGCACGGCCAGCAACGCGGCCGGCACGGCCACTCACTCGGCGCGGCTGGACGTGCGCGGTCAGTCGGCCACAGGGACCGCCGCGCGCTGGTCTGACCCGGACACTGCCCGAAATCCAGGATGGATCCCTGATCAGCCTACCCTAGATCGCCGTGCCTTATTTCGAGTTTCAGCCGAATTCCACCTTTCTCCATGTGTCTCAAAAAAGGTTTGATTCGTAGTGCCTTCTCCGACGGGCCAGGAGCTCTCACCGGTAGACCGGTGGTGTGACCGCAAACGAGTCGTAAGTGGCTCTGTTCTACGTGGACGCTCCTGTGAGCCCAGCTCGGGCCAGCCGGCAGGGACAGCTCGCCGCTGACATTGTTACCCACTGTTGACTTGATACCCTCATCGGCATACGCCAGTCGCACGACGACAGACAGTGGTCGTCTCGACGGGGCCCTTTGTTTGCCTCGAGACAGTTTCCTTGTTCCATCTAGTTTGGCATCAACGCAAGCATCCTAATTCGTTTGTTTGACGAAGCGCCACGTGGACATCAAGTGGCTGACACCTGGCCCCGCGCGTATTGTCAGAGGTGCCGGAGATAATGCCGTTCGGCGTCGACGCCCCGCTCAGCTCTGGGGAGACGGTGGCGCTCGTCTGCAGCGTCAAGAAGGGAGACACTCCGCTGACGATCAGCTGGACGTTTGAGGGCGGGCCGGTGCCCGAGGGGCTGGCCGTGCGGGTGATCCCCACGGGCGCCCGGAGCAGTTTCCTCTCGTTGGAGGCGGTGGGCGCGGCGCACAGCGGCCTCTACACGTGCACCGCCGCCAACGCGGCCGGCACCGCCTCCCATACGGCCAGGATCACAGTGAAGGGTCAGTGGTGGGCGCGGCGGACTGGCGGCCTTCGGACACCCATCCTGAGCCCGCGATCCCCGCATCGAACCAGGAACCGCGCGCCTCTCTACTGCCTCTGAGCTGTTTGTTCACCAGTCTGGCTGGATGTCGCTGATGGTGTTCTGGTAACGACCTGATGGTCAGCGGTCGGTGGCCAGGCGGGCGTGGTAGTCTCCAGGAACATATACGAACCATATCCTTGTTTCTCGCATATCATTGTATCCGCCTTCGGAACCTGCACCAAACTGACGCTCAAAAGATCACTCAGACTGATTCCCGGTCCACCGTTCAGAGGTTCCCGAGGTGGTGCTCTTCTCGGATGCTCTGGAGGCTCCACTGAGCACGGGAGAAGATGCCGCTCTGACGTGCCGAGCCAGCAAGGGCGACACGCCGATGACGCTATCCTGGACCTTCGACGGACGTCCCGTCACCTCTGAAATGGGAGTGAATGTGATATCGGCGGGCGCCCGGACCAGCTTCCTGACGATCCAGTCTGTCGGGGCGGCCAACAGCGGGAAGTACACCTGCACCGCTGCCAATGACGTGGGACAGGCCTCCCAGTCGGCCCGGCTCACGGTGAAGGGTCAGTTTGCGATATCGCTTCAAGAGTTCCCCCATATTCTTATACCATTTCACAATGTGTCCTATCTTGTCATGCTTATCCATATCCTGGTGGCAAAAAGTCCTCGCCTTTTTGTTGACTTTGCCATACCTTTGCTCTTAATTGACTCGATATTCTGGGCGATTCCGTAGAGGCTCCGGAGATTGTTCCCTTCAGCATGGACGCGCCGCTCAGTACGGGAAGAGACGCGGCTCTCACCTGCAGTGTGGCCAAGGGAGACACGCCCATGACCATAGAGTGGACATTCGAGGGCCGGCCGGTGGCGGAGCTGCAGAAGGTCCGCGTTATTTCGGGTGGCTCGAGGAACAGCTTCCTGACGATCGAGTCTGTTGACGGAAGTCACAGCGGACTGTACACGTGCACGGCTACGAACGCGGTGGGCGCGGCGGTCCACTCGGCGCGGCTCGCCGTCAAGGGTCAGTGGCGAGCTGGGCCAGCGGAAACAGCAGACGGTGCATGGCAACCTCATCTTCCTGAAAATGGCTACTGTCTCCGTCATCCTCATTCCTCATTGATCCAGACAAACTTCTATTCCTGCTTTTTACATGCCACGGTATTCCATTATGTAGGCTCCCGGTATACGCATGTCTGGTGTGAGGTGCTCTCTCTGGCCCGCTCTGGTGGCTGACGTCGGCGGTCGGTTGGCAGAGGCGCCGCAGCTAGTGCCGTTCACGGTGGACGCGCCGCTCAGCGTCGGTCGCAGCGCCACGCTGCTCTGTAACGCGTTCAGAGGGGACCCGCCGCTGACGCTGGCGTGGACTCAGGACGGACGCCCCATCTCGGACACGGCCGGGGTGCGGGTGGTGGACGCCGGATTCCGGACCAGCGTGCTCACCATCGAGTCGGTGGCGGCGGCCCACAGCGGACTGTACACCTGCACGGCCACCAACCCGGCGGGCGCGGCGGCGCACTCGGCGCGGCTCACTGTCCAGGGTCAGTTGGCCGCACGGCGGGGACGGGCGACGGCGAGTGGTGATCGATCTGCCGCGATGCATGTCGATGGAGCCCTTGATCCTTCTCCAGCCTCTCTGTGACTCCGGCTGTCCGTCCTGGCATCATCCGTTCTGCTGGTGATCAGACGTCTGGCTCGACAGAGGCGCCCGACATCGTCCCGTTCAGCATGGAGTCACCACTTAGTACCGGAGAGGACGTCGCGCTCGCCTGTAGCGTCAAGAAGGGAGACACGCCCATGAACATCACGTGGACGTTTGAGGGCGGCCCGCTGGGCGCCGAGCTGGGCGTGCGCGTCCTGTCGGCCGGGCCTCGGTCCAGCTTCCTGGCGGTGCCGTCCGTGGGGGCGGCCCACTCCGGCGTCTATACGTGCACTGCCTCCAACGCGGCCGGACGGGCGTCCCACTCGGCGCGG